TTCAGGTAGGCTTTTAACAATTGTAATTGAATCCCTGAACCCCATTTCAGCAAATAATTTTAATCTTTTAATTTAATTTTTAAATCGTATATTGTTTAATTTATCTTTTAATATTTAACTTATTGTGTTTTTAAATTGTGTGAATTTTTTAATGCTGTGAGCTACTTTGAATCCCTTGTTGGGAGAAATGTGGCATATAGATAAAACTAATAATAATAATAATGGAGAGAAGGAGAAGGAGAGTGGAGCAATCAAGCTGAAGACAGAAGGCAGCACCTGAACATGAAATAACACCTCCCTAAGTTGAAAGTCATGAAGGGATCTCTTGGAGGACACTGGCTGGGGATCTTCAGCCTTACTGTACACACAGACATTGATACAAAAAACTTGAGGCAATAATTATGATTACATGTATGTGTGCTCATACTGACACAAAAGAGGGTAGGAAAGCAGAAGAAAGTTGGTGGTACATTTGGGAGGTCTCCGATGAGTAGGAGCAGGGAGGAACTACAGAACACAGAAGCACAAAAACTATAAATAATAATAATTATGAAGATTAAGAATTACAAGAGAAAGCCTACAGTGTGAGAGATCTAGACTGCGAGTGGCATATGGTGGCAGCTAGTTTGATCCTGAATAAAATAAAACATAAAATAAAGCATAATAAAAAAGAGAATTATAACAAGCAGACACTTAAGGCAGAAGTGAACCTCAGTTACTCATACACCAAGAGACCTTGCCCTGCAAAGGTCTTGAAAGAATATCTTGGTATGTACTTTCCCTAGCCTGGCTCATAATTTGTCCAGGCCAAGTGCTCCTCTCCCCATAAAATTTCAGTTTGTCCATGTACCAAGGGCTGCACTCACAACCATTGTTCTCCAGTCCAGCACATCTGGGACCTGCTGTTTTAGGACTGGCACTGCTACACTGGCAGCTGAGCTCTATCTCCTACCCATACACATCATGGCTATAGGGTGGTGGAAATCCTTAGTGTATAAAGTGTACCTACAGTCAAGCACACTAGCTCACAATTAATATTTTATGTTTAGTTTTAGCCAGTGTCAAGACAGTGTGGATTTGTGAACACAATATTATACATTGGGTCAGAGAGTACAGCGGCATGATGTGATGGAATACCAGATGGTATTATTCTCAGATGTTTCTATTCTTTTTAATATAAACTCTCTTCCCCTGGATAACTACATTGATTTTAGTTAATTTTACATACCTTAAATTTAGGCATAGATCATCATCCTAGTATATAGTAAAATTCAGAATGTATCTACATGCAAAGTGTCTGCTTTACAGTGTCCTCACACTGACTCCATCTTCCGTCCTCTGTGGTAGAAGAGTTTAGGGTAGGAGAATATGGGTAAAAGAGTCTTATGTGGAACCATCAATGTATGAAACAAAGGCATATTATAATCTGGCTTAATGGTAGACATGAAGCTGGAATAGATAAATACAGTATATCATTAAACGTAGTAAATTTTTATTACAGAAAGAGTTAAGAATATTTGATTATGTGCTATCAAGTAATTTCTGACTTGTGATGGCTTTTTGAAATAGTTGCTTCCCAAAGGTCCTATTCTTGAAAGTTCTGCACAGTAAAGGCTTATTTTATTGAGTCAATCAATCTGAGGCTATGTCTTCCTCTTTTCCTATTGCCTCCTACTTTTCTTAGCATGACTGTCTTTTCCAGCCAGTATTGTCTTTTAATGGCATATATCCCAAGGTTCTCTTCCAAGTCTCAATCTCAGATTTCCTGGTAACAGTCTCCATCGGGATTGGATACTATCTCATCTTAATATTAATAATAATCATGTGCTGTTAAGTCAATTCTGACCATGGCAACCTTTTTCTGGTTTTCCATATACAGAATACATAGAAATGGTTTACTTCTTCTAGGGGTGCTCTGGGACAGTGGTTCTTAACGTGGGCGATGACGCCCCCAGGGGGCAATTTTGTTTTTCGGGGGGTAGAACAAAAAGGGGTGGCATGGGGGCGAAGGAACAGAAGGGGTGGTAGGGGGCGCTGGAGTGAGCCAAACCCGTGAAGGCGGCTACAGCCGCAGTGCTGGCAGTGGATCCGGTGCCGCCGCTGCCAGACGATCCAGAGCTTTCTGCCTGCCACGTCTTGCCTTTTTCCCTTAGGGGAGCACCGAGTGTGGATCAGGTGGAAGGAAAGGGTCTCTCGGATCCCTCTCCTTGCCCTGTGAAGTTCTGCCTTGCACTCGGGTGGGGAGGGAGAGACAAGCCCCGTTTGTCCATCCTGCCTTCCCGCCCGTTGCAAGGGAAGCGTGGAGAGAAACAGGTCGGTTTAGGGTGGTGTGGCAGGATTTCTAGGGACGGGACTGGCTCAGGTCATCCTGGGTGGGTGGGAATTCGGCAGCTTTTCCAGCTTTTCGTGTTGTCTGGTTGTGGCTGGCTGGCTGTCAGGGGGGAAGAAAGTTCACCTGGCTGACTTTAAATGGCTTTCAGGTATGTCAGAGTTGAGATCTTCCCCTGTCTTCCATGTACACGGGGGTGATGTGCCTCTATGTGTAAATCCTCTGGGAGAGAAAGCTCTCAAAGTGAACTGTTAGCGCTGAGGGCAAAATCCACAGGGCTGTCATAGAGAGACTTAAGCAAATGCACTGTGGAAAGTCAGCCCCTCCCCTTTCTCCCTGAATCCTGAGGATCCGTTCAGTGAAGGTGAAAAGGGCAGCATGTCAGTGGCTTGAGTATAACAGTTTGCTTCAAGAAGGGGGTGGCGGGGGCGCTTCACAAGTTTTAGACTACAACTCCCACAACCCCCTGCCCTTGGCCCACCTTCCCGCCCATTGCAATGGAAGCGCGGAAAGAAACGGGTCAGTTTGGGGTGGCACGCCATCTCTCATTGAGCTATTCAGCAGTTCAGTTGTTTATTGTTCTGTTGGGTACTTGGAAAGTTGTTTTTAAGGTAATTCGTTATGGATGCTGTTGTAACCCTCCTCCCCCAAAGTAATTTGTGTGAGTAAATGTTGCAAAGGGTGTTAGTTACTCATTACTTTCTGACTACTGTAAAACCCTTAGGACTGTGAACTGATTGGCATAAAACTTGAAAATTCTTCTCAAAATCTTCTGAAAAGATAATGTGAAAATGTTACATTAAACAAGTTTCGTGTGTAGAAGGTTGCTTTGGTCAACAGACTTTTGCATTATTCTAATAATGCTCCTTTAATTAAAAAAACATTTTAAGCTGCTACAAGGTAATATACAACCTTAATTTGCTTCTCTATTTCCTTAATACAAAGTCTACTATCTACAGAATTTCTAACTTTGTTCTGCCATTTCAAAAAAATTATTTTGAGACCCAAGTGGGTTGCTATCTTGAATTTAGAGTTCAGACAGCAGTAAAATCAATATTCCTTTCCTTTCAAACAAATACTATTATACTAAGATTCTCTGATTCTTAAGATTCTGTTAGGACTTGAAGTGACAAAACCAATTGCCAGCGTATTATTGCCAGCAATGGCAATAATATGCCAGCTAACATATTATTGGTCAGTATAACAGTCTTTTGGTGAAACTAGAACAGGCCATTAATACATAGTCCTGGCTATGTTTGCATCAGAATGTGGAGACAGAAGCCATGGAGACATATTGTTTTTAATTGCCACACTTTAGGCACATTTAAGTGTCAGAGGTAGTTTATGGAAGATACAGTGAAGCTTTTATCAAGCTGCATTTTTCAAGCTTTGGGATACACTTGTGTCCAGTAAGGATCATCTTGCTGGTGGAAGGAGAAATTAGGCTGCTTCTCTAAACCAATCTTCTTTCTCCTGGGCTGCTCTCATTCTCCATTGCCACCACAAGCTCAGTTACCCAATTCACACTTAACAGCAGATCTGAAATGGTCTGCAAGAGGGAGGGGCATCACTGAAAACTGTCTCCTTCCCTCTTCTGAAAGGGAACAGTGCCTTTTATCTGTGGAGTGACTGGATAAAAACCTCAGCACCCTTTTTCATTTTCTGTATTGTTTTGTGTTTTGCCCATGGGTGATTGATTAGGCATTCTTCAGTCTCGAGAGACTATGGTAACGTACTCTGTATGGAGGACTTGGAACAGCATCTAGTGTGGCTGAGAAGGCCAATTCGAGAGTTACCATCCCTTCCACACTGAAGACAAATACAGTCTGTCTGCTGTCCATCTCCCTGATTTTGCTGCTTTTGGGACTGCCTCTTTGCCTCGGCCTGCTGGACAAGGGTCTCTTCAAATTGGGAGAGTGTGTGATGCACCACCTGCCTCCAGGCTGAATGCTTAGATGTGAAGGTTTCCCATCTGTTGAGGTCCATTCCTAAGGCCTTCAGATCCCACTTGCAGATATCCTTGTATTGCAAGTGTGGTCTTTCTCTGGGGCGATTTCGCTGCACTAATTCTCCATACAGGAGATCTTTTGGAATCCAATGTCAAAGGGATCTGATGCTGAGCCATCAAAAACTACGGTGCTCTTCATTCCTTCATGAAAGGACCTGATGATGTTAAGGAGTCGAGGTGGACATCCAGTCTTGGAAAGTATTTTAAAAAGGCCATCCCTGCTAACTAAATCAAAGGCCTTTGTGAGATCTATGAAGGACACAAAGAGTGGCTGTCGTTGTTCCCTACATTTCTCCTGCAACTGTTTGAGGGAGAATACCATGTCAGTGGTGGATCTATTAGCTTGAAATCCACACTGTGATTCTGGATAGACTCTGTCTGCAAGGGCCTGGAGTCTCTTCAGCACAACATGGGCAAGCAGCTTCTCTACAATGCTGAGAAGAGAGATGCCACGATAGTTATTGCACTTGCCCTGTCTCCTTTGTTCTTATACAGTGTGGCAATGTTTGCATCCTTTATGTCCTGTGATACTCCACCTTCCCACCTGCAAAGGGAAGGAGGAGTACCATGAAGGATGCAAACATCTCACAAAGGATGCCCATGGGTGTGAAACAGATTTTTATTCAGCTTTATTCCTACTTTATGATCTAAAGTTCCTACTTTATGATCCGGCAGTCAGATCCAGAGCAGCTGCTGCCGCCTCTTTCATTTCGAAGACTTCTCAACGTGGTCGAGAAGACGTGCCGTCAATATTCAACAGAATACCTAAAATTGGGATTCATTCCATCTCATTCCAATGTACAGGTTCCGTTTTGTCTTCTTTGTGAGAAATCTTTTTCAAATGAAGCAATGAAGCCTTCCCGACTAAAAGACTATTTGGTAAAAAAATTCATTCAGATAAAGTCGACAACCCGGTATTGTTTTTCCAAGCCCAAGTTTGAGGGTCGCAGCACTGTTGAGAAGTTATTTGGAAAATCGTCACTCAACGCCGACAAGGAGCTCATTTGTTCCTATGAAACATCTTTGTTGATAGCAAAATGTGGGAAACCTCACACTATCAGAGAAATGCTGATTTTACCAGCAGTGAAACAGATTTTTGCCACCATGTTGGGGTCCAGTGCAAGCACCGTCACACAATCGATTCCTCTGAGCAATGACACCATGTCAAAAAGAATTGATGAAATGGCTGCTGGTGTGGAAGAAAGGCTTATTGACACCTTGAAAAGTACAGAATTCATGATGCAGATTGATGAGTCAACAATTCGTGAAAATGAAGCCTTATTATTGGCTTATGTCCGTTTCATCAACGGAAATGAAGAGATTGGGGAAGAACTGTTATTTGCTCAAAATTTAGCCTCCGACACAAAAGGTGCTTCAATATTTAAAAAGGTTGAAGGGTTTTTTTAATGAGAAAAAATTTCTTTGACAAACGTTGTGGCATGTGCAACCGATGGAGCTGCATCTGTGGTTGGACAATATCGTGGATTTCAAGCTCATCTAAAATCTGAAAGTGCCCACTTGGGTGCTAAATCCTTTCACCACAGACTTTGCACAACTTCATCCCAAACTGCAAGAGCCACTGACAGATCTGAAACATGACTGTGAAGCCCAATCACATTTTCAGAGTTACGGCTACAAAGCTTTTTGGGTGAAAATAAGGAACACTTACCCAATATTGTGGGAGGAGGTTAAGTTGCTTATTTTAGCCTCGCCTTCCACTTAGTGGAGAAGGGGCTTCAGCGCCGCCCAACAGATGCTTTCTAAGTCAAGGAAAATGTTGAAGATCACTGACTGCAGCGATTTAAGAATGAGATTAACAAAAATGGTTCCAAACATCAAGAAATTGGCATCAGCTCACCAACCACAAGGCAGCCATTGATGCTTTTTTTTGCTTTTTGCGTACATACATTTTCTTCATTAATAATTGTCTCAGCTCTTATTGTTGTATTTGCTTGCATTGGATTTTACGTTCCAGTTTGAGTTCTCGGCTTCATTTTTGAATTCTTGTTGTGTTCTGAAAACATTTTTTGTGTCTCTTTGTTTTGTACTTTTTAAACGTGCACTCCAGTGAGATATTATATTTTGGTTTCTCGGTTTTATGGTTTCGATTTTTTTTGTGCTCTTCGTGTAAACTTTTTGTGTATATATATATTGTCACTGATTTTTGCTGCTTTCCTTCTGTAAAATTTTTCTTTGTGTCTTTTTAACCCTTTTTATAGTGTGCATGAATATATATTTTCCTCGAATCTTAATTAATGTCAGTTTTTGTCTTGAAACTTTTAGTTCCTGCATTGCGGTTTGTTTTTATGCCCTTTTTATATTTCTTTTTGCGTCTTAAAATTCACTTGTAACTAAATCATTAAATGTTACTGGGTTTTTTTTCGGGCATTTCGTTTTCTTGCAATTGAATTTTATATTCAGGGGTCATTGGATTTAAGTGTCTTGAATGAATGAATGAATGAATGAATGAATGAATGAGTTATTGCAGCGGGGAGGGGGGCAATGATAACTTCCTGAATGGCTCAAGGGGGCGTTTCTTTCAAAAAGTTAAGAACCACTGCTCTGGGATTATGTAAATCACCCAAGACTATACTATTTCTGAGATAATTGCGCCCAAATTTCCAGGGTGGCCGCATGCAATGGAGATGTAGCTTTAAGGGCTGTGCAGAAGAGGAAATTTCAGCACGTGTACCTCTCCGTGTAAACCACAGGGGTTGGCATTTCTTCTTCCGCCCTACTATTAAACGTACACGAACCATCTCACCAAACCAGTCCAACCTGCACTCATACAAGGAACAGATTTTGTTCCCTCGTTCTTTGAACTGAGGGAAACGTATCGAGACGAGGCCGGGATTTTTTCGTTCCCGAACTCCCGCGCTCACTCCAGGAGCTCGCACACTAGAAGGCAAGCGGGAGGCCGCCTCGTCACAGGCAGCTAAAGAAGGCGCTTAGGCCGCTCAAGCGTCCCGCCTTCCCCGTCGCAAGGCGACGCTTCTCGGCCCTCACGAACGCTCCCCCTCGGCCACCGGCGCCTCGCGCCCCCCCCCGCGAGTAGATGACGCACACACGTGACCAGCCGGCCCGGCCTCGCGCGCCCATTCCCGAACCTTTCGCCTATTTCCTGTAGTTGGTGGGAAACCCCGTCCGCTCCTCCTCCGCCGCGGGTTTTGATTGGCGGCGGAGCAGCGTATGAGGCAGCGCCCCTTCCCCGCCCTCAGCCTCTGTTCCGGACCAGCCAGCGCCGCGCGCTGGTAACGGATTGAAGAGCGCCGGTTTAGGAGTGTCAGTTAATGCCGCGGTGGCTTCTTGCTTGGGGAGGGTCGCCTAGGTGACGGGTCGCGCTCGCTCGCCGGGAATCTGCGCCATGGCCGCTGGGGCGGCCCAAGGTGGGGCGATGGGCCCGTTGGTTGGAGCCATCGACCAAGGGACCAGCTCTTCCCGCTTCTTGGTAGGCGCCGCTTGAACAGCGCGATGGATGAAGGAGGAGGGGGGGTCTTTGCCTGGGACGGGGTTGGTGGTGGTGGTGGGACGAGGCGAGACACGAGGGGACGGTGGATGTCCTTGGCCGGGAGAGCGGCAGAGAGGACGAGAGCCGGGGGCAGGCGGAGGGAAGCCGGGGGTAGGCGGAGGAAGGGGGTGGGAGGGAGAGAAACAGGCATGTGTCCGTGCGAGTCTCCTCTTGGCCGGCGCATCTAACGCCGGTTTCCCAAACCGAAGCTCCTCTCCCGGCTCTGGGAGGGAAAGAGAGACGGGAGAGTGTCCTTGAGGGAGACCGCGAAGTGCGCTTTCGTTCCCTCTGCCCTGAAGCGTCTCCCCCGCGCCGCCCCACTGCTACTGGGCGCAAGGAGAAAGGCTGCCTGTTGGCTCAGAGAAGGCTACGGATTTGCTTTGTTCGTCTTGTGAATTAGGGGACCAACAAGTGCAGCAGAGCCTCCTGATTCCTCTGCCCTAGCCACTGAGGCATTCAAGATTGTTTGCTTCAATCTGTGCTCCCAGGGGGTGGAGAGCGGCGCAGGTTGAGCTTGGCAGGCTGATCCAATTACCTGCTGGAAAGGGTGTATCTTCTTTTTCTTTTACACTGTTTGGATCTCTGGGGGATTGAGAGTCTGAGGATGAAGTTTCTCACCCAGCCTGTGATGTAGTGGATGCAGGTAGCATTAATGGTGTTCTTTTGCATAGTTGGTATTTCTGAACCTACAAATCCCAGGTGGACCTACTGTGTTAAATAATCTAGGGACTATTGGTTAGTTTACACCCTGTAGTTCCATGTAGTTCACAGGTTTTGAGAATTTGATATAAACTCAATGGTATTCTTTTCCTTTCATTCATTATAAGTCCTATGCTAAAACGCCAAAGAAGGATTGTTAGAATTTTCTAGTGAATACAACAGTGAAAAAACAGTGGTGTTGCTCAATACAAAGTTTTCATTGCATTGTAGTTACACTTTCCAGAGCACTTGTGCTCTGCTTTGAGCCTCAAAACTCGGGAACATTGTCATCTGACAGGATTTTGACTCATGCATATGCCCAAACTTTGTATCCAGTCATGGCACAATAGCTTAATCCATTTCTATAGCTGCAGTCTTACGCAGAACCCTGGCAATATCCTGTTGAACCTAGAGACACCTACTTGAAGCATACATGAAATGTCTATCTGAGGTGACACCTTGCTTGGACTTTGGAATGTTGATGGCTCAGGTCAGGGATGGATCTTGGATCTGTCACTGAGTAAACTTAATAATCATTGGGGTGGGGTTGTACTGATGTGAATCTTGTCTCTGATCTCCGAGTCTTTCCTTTCCCTCCCATTTTTTTTAAACAAAGCATGTGGATATTAACTTAAAGTTCAGGGATTTGTTGAACTGTATGTTGTGAAAGCAAGTGGAGGCAAAAAACTTTCAGGGACAGTCTAAAGTCCGTGCTGATGCTGTAGTGGAATCTCATTACAGATAAGGGAAATGTGCAGAAAAGCATGTGATACAATTGCAGGATAGGAGTATAACCTGAGAGAGTACTAACCTTACACCAGAGTTTATAAATACTGTGGTATTTCTCTTTCTGTATTCTTCTTTCTACACATGGAAAAGAAGGTGAAATTGAAATGGCAAGGCAAGGGTTTGGGAGGTTACCTGAAGCATCCAAAGAAAGTGATGATACATGGAAGCAGAAATAAGGCACAAGTAGTTACAATCACTTGACTTCATGGCAAAAGAAGTCCAAAAGTCTTCATTTCCTAGTTGGCTGCATCTCCAATTGTGGAGCTGAGAAGGACCCCAAGGGTTGCTATGCCAAACCCCTAGTTGAAGCAGAAGGTCAACAGCTGGCACATCACTGACAGGAATCCTGTTGCACAGCTTTTCCTCTTGTAACACTGTTTAATCCATATACTGTCCCATTAGTGCACAGCACTACTTTGAGCTGCTAACAATGTAAAAACCTATCAGGTTTTATATTGTTAACAGCTTAACAGTTTTATATTATTATATTAACAGCTTTATATTAAGGTCGAAACAGTACAAACAAAATAAAACAATAGTAGACATAGACAAGACAATCAAATTGAATCAGTATTAAGCCACGGCACAGTGTTTCCAGATGACAGCAGGGCATGAGGCCAAGACTTCAGGTGAGGTTGCATTTGAAGGCCTCACAGAAGAGCAGGGTCTTCAGTGGCCTCTTTAAAATGGGGAAGGAGGAAAGGAGGGGGCCTGCTGCAGCTTGAACATTTTATTCCTGCCAAGTGACCATCAACCATGGCCATTTGGGAGGAATAAAATGTTTCAATTGGTAGTAGCAATTTTAAAACAAACTGCCCCCCCCACATTCCCTAAGGATTTCCAGAACTTTGGGAATGGGGAACGGGCAACATTTATTTCCACCCAAATGGCTGTCGTTGATGATGTCATCAGAGTTATGCAATATAAAGTTGTGCAACAGGACTGTGTATTTAGGAGTGTCCAGGTGTACCAAAATGTGTAGACTTGTCTGTTAGCTAAGAACATTTCATAAGTCTGGAGCCAAGGTGTACAGAGAAAAGTACTCTGACCTCAGTGCTGGCTAAATCTGTGGACAGAAGTGGAAATATAGCAAAGTTTCCTTTGTTAGATGTGTGTTGAGCCTCAAGTAAGAAAATTGAAAATAGAAGGGGCCCTGTTTGAGCTTGGGACAGTTGAAATTTAATTCATTTTCTTTAGATCTTTCATACCTAACAAACACAACATGAGTGTGGTTAGGCAACAGTCAAAAAACAAAATAAACATTTTCTTAATTCCACAGTAGATAGAACTGGATTTCAGTGCATCCTAAGGCAAGAACATCTGTCAGTATAAAATGCTTAGGTACACTAATGCAAATTGATAGGATTACATGTTAACCTGTTATTCCTTTCTTGATTAGTTTAGATTGTTTCAGCTTCCTTCATGTATACTCCAAGGGATATTGTCCTTCCACACTGTAACTTCATGGGAAAACCTGGGGTTACGGTATAGAGGGGAAGCCTCTAGGTGCCTTTTACCCAGCAATTCTTCTTCAATTACAGAAATAATAGTCTTCTTCCTGTGTACAGCACAAGGCAAACCAGAGCAGACAGTGATATTTGATGAGCATCTTGAAAAATAAGGATAATTTGGTGCAGTACTAGCTGTCACACTTGCTGTTCTAGAGTCAGAGATAAATGAGTTGAATGCACTCTCAGACAATGATTAACAACTCTTGAAAGCATTTGTCCCTTAGAAGTGTCTGCTGATTGTGACCTTTGAAAGCCAGAACAGCCTAGTTACATGAACAAGAATGCAGACATCAAAATATAGAAAAAAACAGAGTTTCTCACAGAGTGCTATCCTCTGAAGATGCCGGCCACAGAGACTGACGAAGCGTTAGGAAAAACAACCTTCAGAACACGGCCAAAGAGCCCGAAAAACCCACAACAACCACTAGATCCCGGCTGTGAAAGCCTTCACGAATATATAGAAACAGAGTTGATAGAATGAACCAATATCATCATCTTTGTTCATGTTAGAATCAGTCCAGTGCTGCTACTGGAGTGAAAGGATCAGCCAACAGGGTGTTGCTGTTGCCCAAGGGACATATGAATGTATTCACAGTCATCATATTATTTGGGGAGGTTCCTTCCATATTCCCCTGAACCAAAGTGAAACAGAAGTAATTTTCACAAATATTTCAGCTGAAGTTACCAATCACACTTTTGTGTCTATGAGTTCTAGCAAGTGCAGAATGCATGTTATGAACTGGTTCATATTAGTGTTTGTCACAAACAGCTCCTCCTTTTGTTTGTGTGTTAATAGGCAATGACACAAGTTTTCTGATGATTTGCAGTGCAACACTGTGACTGTGTATTGAGAAATATGTACTGTTGAATTCATAGGGATGTAATTTCAGGAAAATGCATATAGGGTTTGGCCTTAGGTCCTAGAGCATGGGTGAGCAGTTTCTTTTTAATGCTCAAAAAGTTCCCATGTGCCGTCAGGGAAGTGGAGGGCCATTATGTCATGTTCTGATTTGTAGCACCCTTCCCCTTAGTTTATTGGCCATGATTCATTTGGCAGTTTACATTTGTGTAAGGGAAATCACATAAGTCTTAGAAATTGATTTCCTTTCTATTCTGATACCATTTCTGCTAGAGTAGTCTTCTGCTACTAATAAATATATGAAAGAACCATGTATTCTGAGACCAGAGGCAGTTCATATTTTTTCTGTATTTTTTAAATAATAATAATAAACAGTAAAGTTATCCTACCTGTCATAACACAGTGACCAATGGTTGGTTGGTTGGTAGGTATTATTCATCCAGTCATAAGCCTCCAATTTATGAATGTGGGATTGTGTTACCTTTCACAAAGAGCATCAAGCAGGAGAAAATCATAGAACCTGATTCCTTTTGTAATCACTTAACTACTTATCACCCAAACATGCTGTTTTTTTCAACAAATTCTCTCAGTATCTATTGCTTGAAGCACAAAGCAACATCTATGATAATGTCTTATGTCATATCGATTCATTACATTTATACCCCATCTTTCTTTCATGGAGTTCTAAATGGCATTAATTTTTGTCTTTCTCTTTGCCTCTTTTTTCTCTTTCCATCATTCCTCTTTTGCTTTCTCCATCCCATGGCCCTTCTCTCTGTGTATGTTTATTTGCACAAAAACAGTATTCCTATTGGAGGTCCTGGGCAAATGTTTTGCACAGAAAAAAGACCAATTCACCTCATGCAGATCCTCCACAAGATTGCAAGCACAATCATAGGTCTTTTTGTTGTTGTAGTTGTTGTTTGGAACTACCCACTACATATCTAGGGCCACTTCTTAATTTAGAAGACCCTTAATACCAAGAAGTTCTCAACAAGTTGCAAACTATCGTAACATTTGCCACCTCTGTTATTGCTTTCTGCCATCAACTTGCTTCCAACTTCAGTTTACATTAGCTTATGATTTACTGTCCTGTTCTAGACAGAAACCAGAGATTCTTGTATCATTGCTTTTTGACAGTTTTCTGTACTGTATATAGAAAATGTTATTTTTTAGGACTATTTGCTGCTTAATGTTGCTATCATCAAAGGACCTTGCTTCTTTGTAAATGTTTAAGGTGTGGATACCAGTCTTCGTTTGTCAGTTATGCTTTACAATCTGATTTGGTAAATTTTTATGCTCTGTTTTTTCCAGGTTTTCAATGCAAGAACATCTGAACTACTGAGTCACCATCAAGTAGAAATTCAACAGAAATTCCCAAAAGAAGGGTATGTTTCCTCTATGGTTTAGAATGATTTTTTTTATTAACTCTCGTAATTATTGTATGATTTTTTATGTATCCAATGTTGCTGCATTTTATAAATGTACTTCCACTGTTCAAACTGCATTGCTGATTTCCCTCTCTCTGAACTTGCAGCATCTCTCCATATGTACAATATGCCTACCATTTTAGAAGGCATAATGCAGAGGGTTGAATTGAGATGTATTTATTTATTTATTTTATTTCTATCCCACCTATCTGGTCAAGCGAGGACCACGCTAGGCAGCTAACAACCTTAAAAATACAGTGGTGCCTCGCACAGCGAGGTTAATCCGTCCCGGATTAACCCTCGCTGTGTGAAACATCGCTGAGCGGGGCAGAAAAGCCCATTGGAACGCATTAAACAGTGTTTAATGCGTTCCAATCGGCTGCTGTACTCACCGTTCAGCAATGTTTCTCCGATGGCCGGCAGCCATTTTCGCGCCCTCCCCTTGCTGAATGAGGGCGCGAAAATGGCTGCGATCAGCTGTCCGGCAGGTCCAAAATGGCCACCGCAACAACCGAAATGGCTGGCCGCAGCGTTTTCGCGCCCTTGGTAAGCGAGGGGAGGGCGCGAAAATGCTGCACGCAGCCATTTTGGCTGTTCCGGCAGCGTTTTCGCGCCCTCCCCTTGCTTACCAAGGGCGCGAAAACGCTGCACCCGGCCCTTTTGGCTGTTCCGGCGGCCATTTTGAAGCCACGGAACAGCTGATCGGCGGGTCGCAAAGCAAAGGTCGGTAAGCGAACCGCTTACCGACCTTCGCTCTGCAATTTTCGCCCATTGGGGGCATCGCTCTGCAATCGCATTACAAAACACAAAATATAAACATTTCTTGAGCAATATATGCTTTCTGCCCGAACAAGTTCTTGATAACATGAGAAAATCTAGTAAACTATGCTTCTTAGCAGAGTAGTTGATATTAGTAACTGATGACCAGAAACCTATTGGTTAGTTACACTAGCATATATACACTGGCAAAAATTGTAACGTAAATTGCACATGGACACATTCACATGATGGATGTACAATGAGAGATACAATTGACAGCTTGTTAAATAATGGCTGTTCACCACTGCAGTTTATGTCAGTGCACATATTCTGACATAACTGACCAGTTATGATTCTGGCCAGTATATCTGAATTGTCATCTAAATTGCTTGACAAGAATGTATTATATTTTTGGTTCATAATTTCAGTTGCAAAATTCAGCCTTCTGATGTTAGTCCTGGTTTTGTGCTTCTTGTCTATTTTAGGTGGGTAGAGCAAGATCCAAAGGAAATATTAGAATCAGTGTATGAATGCATGGAAAGGACATGTGAGAAACTTAACCAGCTGAATATAGACATCGCCAACATAAAAGGTATTACAGTTTTTTAAATGTAGAAATAATAGAAGAGTTAAAGTGAAAAGAAGTAGCCAGACTATTCTAAAAAAATTTTTTTGGAAGCCAAAGGTCTGAGCTTTTCAGCCTCTTCTTCCTGAAGGCTGTAGGCATCCTTCAGTCTTGAGAGACTATGGCAGTGGTGGCAAATGTTTTTGGGGCCGAGTGCCCAAACTGAGAAAAGCAAAAAAACAAACCAGCAGGCGGCGTGCCACAGAAGTGGTGGCAGAAGGGGTAATCCCAGGCACTGAGGTGCCTCGAGACCCCACTTTGGATCCACTGCCAGCGCTAGCTGCTCCATATCCTGGCCCGTTGCCTGTTGAAGCACCAGTACTGCATCTGCAGCCATCTCCTGAGGTTTGGCTGTGTGGGTGGCAGGGGAGTAGCGATCTGGTGACTTATGGCTCACGTGCTCGCAGAAAGGGTTCTGTGTGCCAGTTGTGGCACACGTGCCATAGGTTTGCTATCGCTGGACTATGGTAATTTGAATAGAGGTTTTGGAACAGTGTCTAGTGTGACTGAGAAGGCCAATATGAAAGTGACAATCCCTTCCACACTGAAGACAAATACAATCTGTCCCCTCTCCAGCTCCCCAATTTTGCTGGTTTCGGGACTGCCTCTTTGCGTCAGCCTGCTGGTCAAGTGGCTCTTCCTGAAGGCAGGTCAACAAAAATATCAGTAAACTCAATTTCTTCCCTCTGCCCCAAATGGATACCCAGGAGCACTTTGGGAATACATAGACTTTTCTGCAGATCAGCCAATTACTTTGGGATGTAATCAAAATGTATAATGAACTAACATGAGTACTATTAAAATAAAAATACTGAAAGATAGTTCAATAGTAATATAAAATAAATAGTTCGATCAGGAAATACCTTGCAGAAATGAAAGAGCACAGAATTCTGTTTGTTCAAGGCAGCTACACTGAGCTGTCTTGATTTTCCTGCCTCACTTTTGTATCCTCTTACAACATCAAAGTCCATTCCAGCTAATCTGGAAACCCTGGGCAGTATGGTTTGCCGGAGGGGGGGGGGAGCAACAGGGATCTCTAGAATGTCAGGAAGCCCTGTTGCATAAGTTGAAATCCACTCATCTGTATCCAGTCTAAATCTTGTAACATTAGATTTACAGTGGGGTCTCGACTTACGAACGACCCGACTTGCGAACAATTCGAGTTACGAACCTGCCCTATAGGGAAAGTAAGGACTCGACATGCGAACTTCCCTCGAGTTACGAACAGGGAAAAAAGTCCCCCCTCCCTCCCCTTAGAGGCTTCTGGAGGGGGGGAAAGGGTCAGAAACTTAAAAATAAATACTGTA